GCATTTTTGGAAACCAATACACGGATTTAACCTTTTCCAATGTCTTATCCATAGAAAAGTGTCCTATATCGTCGTGATTGATTTTTAGTATTTGCCAACGTACCCCCTTAGGTACTACCTATCTGTCACCGTCTGGAGTAATCCTAAATAATTTTTCACCCTTTAATTTAAAATTAGTTTTTATATCTATTATGTCATCTAAATTTGGATCTTTAAGTATCTGGACTTTTCTTTGAATCTCGGAATCAGCACTCTGGACGGTAGCAAGCCAACTTTCCTCAATAACGCTCCTTACCATACAGGAAGCGATCGGAGAAGAATTTGGAACCGGGTTACGACTCAAGGCGTCAACATGAGCCATAGAAACACCTGCTCTATATTCAATATTAAAAGTGTACTCTTGCATCTGTTCCCACCATCGAGCTACTCGTGGTATCATGTCTCGTTTTTTAAAAGTTTCACGCAAAGAGTTGCAATCGGTTACAATTTTGAAAGTTATGCCAATAAGGTATACTCTGAATTTCCGAAGGGATGCCACCACAGCGAGAGTCTCGAGGTCGTATGAGGAGTAATTCTGTTCTTCTGGACTAGTTTGTCTACTAAAATATGCAACAGGCAAGCGTACTCTTTCCTTATTCAATTGTATTAAAATGCCAGCTACACCTACCTTGCATGCATCTGTGTGGAGCTCCGTCTCAGCGTTTGGATCGTATAGAGCTAAAGTAGGTTTTTCTGTCAATTTATTTTGAAGCTCCTTAAAAGCGGACTGTTGTTCATGCCCCCAATTCCATGATGTATCCTTTCCGAGGAGGCGTGTCAAGGGTTTAGCTATTATGGAGAATCCGGGTACGAACCGTCTAAAGAAACTTGCCAGACCTAGAAATTGCCGCACATTGTGTTGATTTTGTGGTACTGGAAACTTCGCTACAGCCTCTACTTTACTAGAACCTGGTTTTATTCCACCTTTTGACACCTGAAATCCTAAATAGTCCACATTATTACCAAAAAATATACACTTAGAAAGTTTAAGTGTCAACCCAGCACTAGAGAACAAGCTCAGAACTTTTTCCAAGCGCTTTATACCTCCTTGAAAATCCTTGGCTGGAATTATTACGTCATCCAAGTATGCAAGAGCTTCTCTGTGACGAGTTGACCCTAAAACTTAGTTCATTATACGTTGGAATGTGGAAGGGGCATTTGCAAGACCAAAGGGCATTCTGTTAAACTCAAAATGTCCCTCTGGTGTTTTTAAAGTGATAAACACAAAGCCCGTTTTGTGTTTATCACTTTCTCGTATGGGTATTTGATAGTACCCCGAAGCAAGGTCTAGAGTAGTGTAGAACTCATTTCCAGCTAATAAATCAATCTGATCATCGATCAGGGGCATAGGATAATTTTCTCTTACAGTTTTTTTATTAAGCGCCCTATAATCTATGCACAGACGGTAATCGCCAGTTTTCTTGCGCACCAGTACTACTGGGCTGGCGTATGACGATGTGGACGGCTGGATTATCCCATTGTCAAGCAGCTCTGTTATCATTTCTCTCACCACCCCCTTTTCTTTTATGGACAGTCTGTATGGTCGGTAAACTACCGGCTCATCATCATGCAGAGTTATAGACATTTCTCCAACTGTAGCCTTACCTAATTCTGCCAAACTCGCTGCAAAACAATTTCTAAAGTTGTTTAAAAGCAATAGAAGTTTCTCCTTCTCCTCAGAAGAAATATTAGATCCGGTTTTAACCTCGTCCATTCTTATCGGTTGATATAGACCTTGAGTTACATTATTAACCGCTATCACCTTTGGATCTACAGTATCCTTATATTCTTCTGCCATATATCCTCGGGCTAATAAATAGTCCTTGTTTATAGTGATTTCCTTACCTGATGCAATACTAACCAATAGCTCTCCTTCTTCGTTATCATTAATGGAAAACAGACCTGCTAACACGGAAAAGACAGTATCTTTTATTAATCTTAATCCTCCCTCTATGTATACGTCACCTGTAACTAATGGCTCAGTATAGACACTAATAACTGATGTACCTGAAACTAAAGTTTCACATTTACAGAACAATTTAACTTTGTAATGCTTACTGGAATAATTAAATGCCGGAAGAAGTTCAAGTTTATCGCATGTTTTATGGACTACAATATGAGGTTGCTCTGTAAATGTTTGGCCAATCATAACTGGTACATGCATAGCTTCATCTGGTACCACAAACAGTTCTACATCAGCTTCTACTTCATCAATTTTAATCGTTACCAACTGTCTACCCAAAACATTAACAATGGAATTACCGAAACCTTTTAAAGTCGGGAGAGCATCAGTTTCGTATTGGTTATGAGATTTAATAAAATCCGATATCCTTATCATGCAACAATCGCTTCCAAAATCCAGAAACGCTTTGTAAGGAATCCCGTTGACTTCAATCGTTTTTAAATATTTTTCCCCAAGTTGTTTATCATTAGTCACGCGCAGAACATTCTTATCCGTTGTCAATGGTCCTTTAGAATAACACTGCTCTGCGTCATGACCTACTTTCTGACACTTGCCACATTTCTTAACCGGTTGTGGACATTGTGGTGCTGTATGTCCTTCTTGCTTACAATTAAAACAGCGTGGTCCCTTGCTCATTTGTTTCAATGAAGACTCCTGAGTTCTATTCATGAATTGATTCCTCGGAATTTTACGCTCATTCGTGCGACTGTTCCTGGTATTTCTAAGATACGCAAGTAGTTTATCAGGATTATCATATTGAACCGCCTCTGCACCCAATCTAATTGACCGATCGTCTATGCCATGAAGAATACATTCTACAGCTCGACTACCTGTTATGCCACATCGATTCAATAAAGCAATTTTATCATAATAATAAGTTTCCAGTGAATCTCCGAATCGGGCGCGCTTGGCTAGCATATCACTAAGCATTTGCCCATAATTTTCTGTGGACGGAAATGCCGACAACAATTTAGTTTGCCATTCATCCCATGAGAAAAGAACAGAAGGTAAGCCTTCATACCAACGCTGGGCAATTCCACGTAATTTTGGTAAAGCAAAATAAACTATTTGTTTTTCAGTCCATCCATAAATAGTTGAGCATTCATTAACCTTATGTAACCACATTGTCATAGTCTGTTCTTTCCTCGAGGGATCGAATTCGGGAATGGTATTATTCATATTTACTAACTTATCTAAATTGTTATCCGTACGACCAGCATATTTAAGTGCATCGAGTAATTGCTGTAACCCACTATTAGCGAACTGAGTTGACTCACCATTGTCCAATAGTCTTCCACGATGGCAACTAGGATAATTCTGGGTGCAAACGCTTCTTCTTGACTCCCGGCTGCGTGGCGTACTGCGAGAACGACTTCGTTCCCGACTGCGTAATCGTTCTCGTTGATGGCTACGTGACCGACCTTGTCGATGGCTGGGGACACGGAAATGGTGAAGATGCCTGCTTCGAGATTCGCTGCATTGTCCGGTGCGACGCCGGCTCGGCTGCCTGATATGGAGTCGGCTCGACGATCTGCTGCGAGACCGACTCGACGGCCTTCCACGTGATCGCTCTAGTTGTTGACTACCAGAAGAGAGCCCGTCAGGGCTACGTAACTGGCGTGACCTTACCCCTCGTGGGCATGGCCGATTGAGAATCGGGCTGCGAGCTGCACTCGACCTCATGAACTCTACCGAGCTCCGAGAGCGCTGTGCCAACCTATCCATATGGCACGATGAACGAGAACTTTCTTGAATGTCCACTGAAAAGCCCAAGATTATTACTCGCATAGTGTAGTGCTCACATTATGTAGTATCATAATACTAAACTCTTGTATTAACCCATATACATTATTATTATTATTATTTTATGAGATAAGTAGGAGGGTGAGAAAAAAAATTGGAAAAGGTAGGGGAAAAGAGGAAAAAATACAGTAACACAACAGTACAGAAGTAGAGAAAATTATCAAGGCAAATATAATATGAACAATTGAACATAAATAATAAACATTAAAATAAATAATGAAAATAGAGAAAAAAAAATGAATAAATAAATAGTAATTAGTTAAAATACTTACGTCCCATATAAAACATACAAAAAAAAATAACATAATCAAATTAAATAATGTATATGTATATTAAGGCTATAAAATATATACCTTCACAAAAAAAATAAATAATAAAAAATAAAAAGAGTAATAATAATAATAATAAACTACATATTATTAATTTTGTGATCCCACTTCTGAAACTGCAGGATTAGGCCCTATTTACTCATCGGTGTTAAAATTAAGGATGTAAATGAAACTATAAATATACTCACTTTTATATATATATATTAACATAATACTCACAGCTATTCTTTCGTTTTGTCTCACTTTTTACACTGACACTCCACACGTTGCGAAACAACGCTTATGCACTACACAACACTTAAGCACTACACCTCCACTGCACAAATACACTGTTTTATTAAATAATCACTATACAACACTTCCACTTTGAGTTGACACTTGTCTCTTTGGCGTTCAGTGAGAGACTGTCCTCTTGACAGCATATACCCCCTATTTATGCATTCACAAGCACTGCCATCTATGATTAGGTATGTGCGTGTAGTCAATACAATATCTTAATTATCGTTAAATAACAATATGAGTAACTAAATATTACTAAAAATAACAATGTTGATGACACGGATATTCTTTAGAAGTTTGGAATAAGATTCTCTACGAGCAATTTGGACTTTTGAAAAACTATTCAAATTAATAAAAATAGTTTACTTGAATTGAAACACTATTTCTTGACATAGTGGTTGAGGTTAAGTGCATCGAATATTACTAGGACTTTTGTATCAATTTATCATTATGTTAATAACTAGGAAGGTAAAGTCGTGAGCTACGCTCAGTCCTGTATCACTTTTTTGCCTTCATAAGATTTTGTATGGGAATAATGTCGTTAAAGATAATAGGCGGCGTAAAGCTTAATCTTATTCTTTTTGTAGCATGCGCGGCCCGACGTTCGTCTGGACGTTCAACTTGAAGACGAAAGACAAGCCGACGCGCTGGACTCTCGCCGGCGTCGCTCTGCTACTCGGCGTCTGAGACTTTAGTGTAAACCTATGTTATGTAATTCAATATTTGTTCGTTACTTAGTTCTTTGCATTTTATTATGGTATTTGTTATTTTGTTATTAAATAAATTATGTAATACAAACTGTCTTTAATTTATAAAATACAAACGTATGTTTCCTGTAACATATTATGATTTAATAGGAAAGAGACCACGGATCTATAGAATTATATATATTTCTATATTAAATAATATGTAAATTGAGTATACTCTATAATCTATTTATACAGACTATAATGATATTATAGGTATTTAATTCTGACTATATCACCAATTCAGATAAATTAAACTTATTAAACGCTCATGATTTGACTACATTTATGATATATTAAGTAGGTACTTACTGGTATTTTTTGAGCTAGAAAAATAAAGGTAGATACTTAATTTAGTGAGCGGAACAAGAGCAGATCGTTACATTATATGTAGTTGTGTAATTACTATTTAGTATTTTTCAATTGAAAACTACATAGCTGTTAATTTATAATGCACGAGTGCACGGGTAAAATTAATTTTGTAATTGTCCTTGAACTTTTTGTTATCAACTCTACTCGGTTTTACTATATCTATTTTCCTTAGTATTTCTGTATGAAATAATCTTAAAAAAGAGATTTAAAGCTGTGTTACTTTTGTAAAATAATAAAATCAACTTTATAATAAACACATTTATTTTTTATATATTGTAGTTATTTATTCGCTCTTTGTACACAAAATAATACTCACAAATATATGTATGTACATCTAGTGGGGCGTCTCGCAATATTTATATATTTATTTAATTTTATAATTTACTTATTATGTAAGCCTAAGTCCCCATAGAGAAATGAAAGTAATAAAATGCTGCCATCTGAATGAATTTCCTTCAATAGGTTTATAAGAGAAGTCACGTTTAATACAAAATAAGTTGGATTGAGAATAATGAGTAACCTGCAGCAGTCTAATCTATTATAAGATTTACAAAAAAAAATCCGAGACTATTAAAGATATGTTTTCTTATAAATTTCGCCATTCTCGACTAGAATTTGTTTGCTGTTCCAAATTTGGACCGCTCCTGTGGTACCAAACTTTCTTTTATAATATCTTCTTTGCAATTCATTTAAAGAAGAAGGGGTCTAATTATCTAATCTAATAAGGATAAACCCTTTTTTTGTTATCATTGTTGGGTACCAGCGCCTCAAAGTCACGTGTTCATTCCAATGCCACGGTAAACAGAGTAAGAGGCGTGCATTTTTATTATGTAGGTATGTATTTAATAATTGGAAGACTTTAATTGGTTACATTGATTTTTAACGAGGCATAATTTACTGTAGAAGGATATTTTATATATTTGATGATTTAGGCAGAGTTTTAGATTGATAGTTTTTCTCTTTCAATAGAAATTCTATGAAAGAATCCTGGGGGCTTAAGAAGAGTTTTTCTTTACCAACGTTGGGCTGGCTGGGATATTATAGGTCGCTGGTCGCCTGTAGCCATATCGGACAATGTTGTCCAAATATGTGTCAATTTTTACTTTGCAACTCAAAAAATAATAATTGGGTATTTTTTCTTCGAAGGAAACTCATGTCATATACATGCAGCAAATAAATGGTAATAACCTAATTTTTAAATCAATATATTTAAAGGAAGACTATGACTTATAAAAATGTTATAATATGAAGTATTCGATGCATCACTTAGGAGATATATTATAGGAAGAGCCCGTGAACGCCAGACCTTCGTCATTTTATAAAGACTGAAAGTTTGTCAGCGCATGCTCTCAACACAGATAAGAACGATGGACCATTATGAAGTTCAGGCTATGGTGGCTTTGGCAGGTACACGGTACTAAAGGTGTGTAAAAAAATTAAGTGTCTGGCATTGAATGACGTGATTTTTAATAATATTCTGAAGGTAATAACAAAAAATCACACTTTATTATTTGACGAATTTAGATCGGTATTTTACACACCTTTAGTACCGTGTACCTGCCAAAGCCACCATAGCTGAACTTCATAATAGTCCATCGTTCTTATCTGTGTTGGGACCATGCGCTGACAAACTTTCAGCTTTTATAAAATGACGAAGGTCTGGCGTTCACAGGCTCTTAGGCCATATAGGTCTATGATTTGCTACATATGTTATTATGTACCGATACAAATAATTGTTTTATTTCTTGACTTAACTTGATTTATTAGCTTTTACATAAAGTTATTAGTGGCAGTGTTATTTACTATCTATTTTAAGGTACCTACATTTCAAAATAAATCGTTTATTTCTGTTTCATCTTACAATTTTAAATGGCAGCTAATTTACAAAAATAATGTTATTATTACGTACTTATAAATAATATTATCATTCTTAAGACTATATATTTATTTATATTAACAAAATATGTCATATATTGTATAGTTACTAATATTTCTCAGTTGATTTCATATAGCTGTTATTCTCTTCGATTTTATAATTGAATTTTATACATACTAATGTAATAAATATATAATTTGTTATGTATATAAAATGTTATGTTTTAAGTTATGGTCATTAGTCAAGACTGCGCACTGTTTTGGATGATTTGGGAGAAGCATTATCGTTATCTGATGGAGGTTCCGATCCCTTGACTGTAAATGTTACGTAGTATCTCTTGTTTCTGTCCAGTCGCTCGGCCGGTAATGCGATCAGTTGTCTCTCAGAACCGTGTGACACTTCAAGCGTAACATGAGCTTTTCCCGAAGGTGGCTTTGAATTAATTTTTGGCAAAAATCCTCGCGATTTACTAGTACCCGCTGTTGCAGGCTTAGGCATTGTATGATGATTCCATTTATAAGGAACTAAAAAAACATATTAAATAATCTGGTGATACTATAACATATTAAACAAATTTGAATAAGAAAAACTAAATATTACTTACTATAAGCCGAACAAGGAATTCCAGTATAAGCGTGTACAGCATGGAAACATCGATGTGTCTTACTTGTGCACAAGCATGGGTTATCAGGGATACCGCTCATTTTATACAATTCACTTTCTCCGTAATCGAAATCGATTGGCTTCTCCGGAAGCTTGTCTAAGTGTCTTTTTCCACTTTTTTGCAATTTTCTTAAGCTGTCATAAAGAAATTTTTCAAAACTACTAAATGAGTAATCAGTACTATTATAGAGGCCTAAACCTACATTACTGAGACTTGATTTATTGTATTCATCGATGGCTCTTTTTACTAGGACGGCCTCGTTAGCTTTACTTGTTCTTATTTGCAGTCGCTTTAATTCCAGTAAGTGTTGAAAAATTTTTCGTTCGCAATAATATCTAAAAATTAAATAAATAATTTTAGGATTAAAACATACTAAATACAATAATGAATATCACATATATATTACAAACCTCCTCATATTTGTTTGAATCCTCTGAGTGACAGATTTCATGTCTACGGCTTTTTTATCACCTGGTTTCCTCACTGGTATCTTACTGTCTGTTTTGCCGATATTTCTCGCGCTTTTCCGTTGTTGATAATATGCATTTAATCTTGGACTCATAATACATCGTTGAACAGGACGAGGGCTAGGTTCGAACCCAGAGTCTAGTAACCCACTAGACTCATAGCCTCTTTCGGAATTTTCACTTTTAGATCTTATTGTTAGTCGACTTTTCATTCTGCCTTTTTTACGAAATCGTTTTCTTCTGCCATTCGCTTCAGAATGACTGTAATATATTTCGTTATCACTAATGCTAGGGATTCTTCCAAATGAGCTATCTTTTCGTAATATCTCTTCATTAATATTATGTTCTTCATCTATCAAACTTCTGGATTTTTTTAATATTCCTGGGCTTAAATCAGCAGTGTCAATAGTATCTGAAAGTACCTTATAACTTTCAGTCTCATAAATACTACTTTTTCTACTACTTAATTGGCTATCCTTTGAAAATTTACTAGCACGACTCGGGGAAATCTGTGTTGTAGGGAGGTCAGTATCATATTCTTTTTCTTCATCTTGCGATATCACTTCTTGCAGTCCTCGGTCTTTAAACGATGTATCATCAAAAATTGTTATGATACCTTTATCTGGAATAAGGTCCTTTTCACCATTAGTTGATGGTGTTACAATTTCTTTCTCCTTTGCTTGAATTATTTCGTTGTCAAGAATAGCTTTACTTTCAACTTTCTCAACGTCCATTCCAGATTCATTGTTATCACCCAACACTTGCTCAGATTCATTTTCAGAATCTTTAATTTTGAAAACTTCATCTTTATTAGAAAAAGATACACTAGGAGATCCTTTATCGAGAGATACTCCTTTTTCTTTATTTATGTCTGGTAGAGTTTCATCCTTTTTTTCCTTATCAATTTCATCTGGTCCAGATAACACTTGAAAAGATGTTTTTCTTGTTTCAGAGCTACCGCTACGACTACTTTCTTTATCCTTTTTCTTTTCACTACCACCGATGCTAGCCTTTTCATCCATTCGTTTATCGACGCTTTCAGATTCTTTTTCCAAATCCTTCGATTGTTCACTGTCAACTTCATCATGATTCACAGTCTCTAGCTTAGTTTCACTAATATCCTTTATTTCTTTCGATTTGTCATCTATGGACTCTTTATCAATTAATTCTTTACTTCCCGCTTCTAAAACGTTTTCAGTAATGGTGTCTGATTTTAATTCTTCAGATTTCATTTCGCTATCTTCTTTTGATAAGCTTGTAGCATTTTCTCTATCTATCTGAGGTATTTGTGTTTTATCCTCTTCTTTTATTTCTTCACTTACGTCTTTATGGGTAACAGACAAGTTCGCAGTTTCTATAGAAACATTATTAGAAGAATCAACAGTGACTGTTAATTCAGAGCTTCCGTGTTGAGTAGATTCACGCTCCATATGTATTTGAGCTTCAGTTATTACCATATTAGTTTTGACAGAAAGAGTATCAGTTTCAGTTTCGCTATGAGTCTTGGTTTTTAGCATTTGAGGTTCTTTTACGGGCTGTCCATCTGTGCTGGCAACTGATGGCTGCGTTTTGGTGGTTATAGTCTCTTTCTCTTCAACCTCAGTGCCCTGAGGCTGTTCAATATTTTTGTATTTAGTAATATTAACTTTTTGTTTTATATCATCATTTTCAATATGAATGGATGTTTTTTTAGCCCTTTGTTTTGTGCTATGTCGTGCACTTAATTCTGAACTAGAACTAGACGTAGACGAACTTTTTCGCTTACTACGCTTCCTATGTCGTTTACTTTTTCTTCTCTTCGCACAACTTGATGTTTCTGATGAACTTTCAGAAGTAGATCTTGTATATCGACTGTGATACCTTGGGCTGCTTTTGCTCCGTCTCGAAGGCTCACTCTTTGATCTATTCTTCTTTGCTCTTGATTCCTTTTTTACTTTTAGTTTACGTTCTTTATACTTTTCATTACCTTCAAATTCACTATCGTAACCATCACTAAAACTTTTTTGTTTTTCTACCACTTTCTTTCTTCTTTCGGAGTATCTATCACTATATTTTTTATGCGCTCTTCTTATATTTTTTTTATCTTCAGACGAAGAACTACTCTTCGATTCGATATCATGATCATCTATAGTCTTCCTTTTATCCATAGCTGGACTCGACAGCTCGACAACTTCACGTTTTTCAATTCTTATCCGGTCACGCACATCAATTTTAGTACTTGTTACTTTTCTTGTCGGTAAACCTGTGATTTGTGCGCCATCTATGACAATTTGAGTATTAGAAAGCTTAGAAGAGGGCAAACCACCATGCATTTGTAAGTATTTAGCAGTTGAACGATGACCTCTACTTGTTGCACAGTCTAAAGGGGTTAGTGGTTCATTTTTAGATGACCTCGCAACTGGGTTAATTTCGGCTCCTCGGTCTAATAATAAGCGACAAAGATCAGCGTTATCTGTCGCCGCAGCAATGTGTAGAGGTGTACGCCCTTCATGATTTGTTGCATTAACTTGTGACGGCCTTCCGTCTAGTAACCATTTAACCAATTCCCTGCGCCCTGATGCTACGGCTTCATGCAAAGGCAAATCTCCTTTAGAATTTCGTAACCATAGATTAGCTCCCCTTGCCCCTAAAATGTAATGTAAACGTAACGTTATAGAATATGGAATAAATTCACAATAAACATAAATATGTAAATATATAATATTAAGATAAGCTTGGCTAACCTAAAATGCGAACTGTTTCAATTTGTCCTTTTGCAGCCGCAGTATGGGCAGGACTTCTGCCTCTGCGATCCTGGCGATGAGAGTCCGCACCATGTACAAGTAGAGCTGATGTTGCATCTGCATGACCTAAGGCAGCTGCATAATGCAAAGGAGTACAGCCATGTGAATCAGCTACGTCGACACGAGCTCCACATAGACCCACCAATGTTTCTAGCGCTTCAGTGTGTCCCCGTGCTGCTGCACAATGAAGGGCTGTCAAGCCATCTCTAGTTACAATACAAATATATTAGAGTTATTTAATTAATATTAAATGACTTAATGGCAATTACAAAACTATTAAGTAATTAAACTAACGTAATTTACCTATCTGAGTCATCAACACTTGCACCTGCTTGATGTAGAGCGAGCACTGCTGCAGCTGACCCTGCAGAAGCAGCCCATAGTAAAGGAGTACGACCATCGGCATCTCGTACCTCTACTCGAGCCCCACCTTCTCTTACTAATGCCCGAAGAACTTCCAAAGCGGCTCCTCTGCTCTATAATATCATCATTATTATTAAAATATAAATATTGATACTTTTGCTATTATATTTAATACAATATCATGAAAATATATAATTTGATATAACCTGGTGATCGGTAGCAGCAGGCGCGCCGCACATTTGCGCCGCGTAGTGCAGTGGATAGCCGCCGTGCTGGTCGGGGGTCGCTGCATCTGCCCCAGCAGCTAAAACTGCTCTAAGCGCACCAACTTCGCCACATACTATAATTATAAATGTTTTTCTAATATTATTGACGTAATAGTTTACGTCCTTGCTAAATATTAGTAAATTATTACTGAAATGTTATAATTGCAACTAGTGACTTCCTTCAATTTCGTGTGGCAATAACAAAAAAAAAGCACATCCACATGTTAGATTTGTAATGTTATATTTTGACTATGTGAGTTATTTTTATATATAAAAAGTATAAGATTAAATAAGAGATACTTTTCGTAAATCATATAGACTTTTGTACAACAAAGCGATGAAGCGGTATTAAGAGATTTGATTAATTTCTTAGCTTTATTAATTAAAAATCTGACTAGACGATTGATATTGAGTTGTCAGATTGACCTTTTGTGTGTTTACATTTAAAACCTCTTACCTCAGTCCTAGATATACGTAATTCAACGGTTCAAGGACCCGGCCTTGTTCGTCGCTCAATAAAGTAGTAGCTGGACACCCTTCGCTGCCTTAACAACGACATACAAACTTTGGTCTCTACCACCCAATAGCTATTACACAATTGACTTTACGATCACCAAAAATATCCATTTTTCTTTACCATTTTTCTGGCATGCAATTCTTTTATGATATAAATAAAATAAATCACATAACTCATTAATAAAAATCTTTATCCTGTTAACAATTGTCATAGTAATTTTTAGGTAATATAAATTTATTTATAATTACAGGAACCCCTCTCAAGTGAAGGCCTCTTCCAAAGCTTGCAATTTCGTTCGATCCTGTGCTATATGGTGCCATTTACTTCCGGCTGACGCATTATGAAGTAATAAGCAAAGGCATGGCAAAAGAAAAGAAAGGACCTCGTTTTACGGGCATATCTATACATATTATCTATACTAATAAATGAAGAGCCGATTTTTTTGTTCGGTTATACTGCGATAAATACTGAACCGATCGGAATAATACTCATACCATAAGATGCAGCGTGTTTCGGAGGTTTTAGTATTGATATGAATGTACTACGCGGGCGGAGCCGAAGGAAAACGCAAGTGATAGTCGTAACGATGATTATCAGCTGTTGAGGGTTGTTGTCTACTAACCACATACTTATTTTCATATAAATTTTCAAAACATATAAACGCAACTATGCTTTGAACAAACAAAAAGCAAACAGTCATTCATTAATTATCTATTAAAAATAGGTATACAAAATGCGGTCTTCTGAAGGTATATCAATAAATTTTGATGAATATAACTAAACTGCAATTAATTTGTAATATTATATATCTACCTTTCAACTATTTTTACATATTATGAAAAATTTAGATAAATTTACAAACACATGGGGTGAACTACGAGAAGCGGGTTACACATTGTACATAAATGATTGATACAGAAGGAGACATCAGACAGTCTAAGTGTACTGTGTACTGTGTAGTGGCTTGCACGCGTGTCAATCTCACTAAAGCGGTGATAATGTGAAACCGGATCCACCGCTGAATGGCATAGGTACATAACAAAACTGTCTGGTTTGATAAACACGTCATGCGCAAACTCACTTTACGCTTGAACGCAATTAACAACATAGAGATACCTACACGTTTTAAGTAATAAATATAGATAATTATTATTACTTATCACAAACTTTGATACTTCCTGTATTTATAACTTATAAGGTAAGTTACTGAAGTGATCCATTGATACCTATATGTACCTAATGTTTGTGATTTATTCAAGGATTGGCTCTTATATTGCTGATGAATATTTATAATTCCATTATTTTATTAATCAACACCAACCTGTAGCCCAATGCACAACGGTGTGCTGTTCATTGTCTTTAGCATTCACGTCAGCACCAGCAGCTAGAAGAGTTTGAACTAGCGGCACGTTTCCGTGTACGACGGCTAAGTGCAGAGGAGTAAGTCCGTCAGCGTCCCGTGCGTCTGCCAGCGCCGGGGCGGCCATCAGCACGCGGTCCGCACAAGCCGCGCGCGCCGCCTGGCTTGCGCCCGCGCCGCTCGAGGCACAGTAGTGCAGCGCACAGCGAAGTCCTCGGTCGCGCACGCGGACTGACGATGGCTGAAGATATACATTAACGAATTTTATTGACAAACTACAAGTTTTATGCAGTATAGTGTCTATTTTAAGTGATTTTCTTAATATTATATAGACAATTAAAAGTCTATATATTTTAGAAGGAACATGGTTTTGTATTATTATTTCTTGCTTTAATATATTCATAAGATAACTAACTATATTATCCGCTACTTTCTACTTAGTTCACGCTGAAGTTCAATTGTTAAATTAACATTTTAGTACTTATACGATTCCTAAGTATAAATGAATACTTAATACGTTACAGTGGAAATGCTAAATGATCAACAAAGCAAACACGTGGTAGCACCCTATAGAGTGCCAACACGAAGTTCCGTAACATTGTTGGGCGGGATATGCCTATTGATTGACTATATGTTCCCCGCGCTTCGATATTTCCCCGCCTACCAGTGCATTTCCGCATTTCCTTGAAAGCTTTCAATTTAATAGCTTCTAAAGTCTCACGCTATAAAGTAAACCTTGAGATTATTGTTTATATTATATGTACGTACACCAAAATATGTTATTGCTTTGTTCAATAAATGAAAGCTACTACAGCTATAATTTTGTTTATAGCTTATAAACAAAAACTTATTTAACATAATACTATAATTATAAGGAATTGTTTACATAATATTGTTTTAGTTTTATAAAGGACTCATAGACGTGAATGAACTTAGATGTTTACTAGACGATGCAATGCCTGACAGCGTCAGAGGTACATCGCGTGTTGCAGCTAAGCACCTACTAGAAACAAAGCTAACATTATCATATTTTAACACTATTAATGCAAAGGCTTTAGTTTTTATCGTCAAATAAGTATTTTATATTGCACCAGAAATCGACATATTTTATAAATTATATTTTGGCTTTATTGAAGTAAAACGTGAGCTTTATGTGTAGTACAACAACAATACTCGTACTTATAGTATCTAGTAAAAAACTTACATCTTTATTGAGCGTTTCAACAACAGACTTATAGTTGGCTTGTTGGCAGGCATACATAAGTGGAGTACAGCCTTGCGGAAGCGGTATGTTTACATCACCCTTTTTGGAGCTGTTCTTTTCCCGTTTGATTTTAGTGCTTTTGTCAACAAGGTCGCCGGCGCGATGCTTTTTTGACTTTTTAAGGATACTGGGGATGGGTTCTCCCCGACCGCTCACTGCGCGCCTTTCCATAACAAGAGGCAGTTAGAGCGGCGTGCGTGCCATGAGTCGAGGTGGGCTGCAATGACTATGGCATCGCGACGAGCGGGCGCGGAGGGCGCGAGGCTCCGACTGACCCTCGAGACTCTAGCCTGAAACAGCGGCCACCTACTGCCCGCTCGGACAAAGGAGGCAATGGGCGGCAAGTAACACCCAGTGTACGTAACAAAACCGGGTCACCATCTGATTTAGTTCGAGTATTGGATGTAAATGCTCAATAAACAAATATTTTTTTGAAAATGTATAATAATTTTTAAAATGAAACTTTATACCAAAACATATAAGAAAATATAATGAGATGTAAAGTGAATTGTGATATTTTCATCATCTTACAGGAAGTTAATGTTAATGTGCATGATTGACAAATGTAGTTTAGCTGTAAAAGTAGTAAGTAGGCAAAATTGAGTCTATAAGCCTTTAATGAAACAACCTGAAAGTTATTAAGAACAATGATCAATTTGACCTTAGCATTTCTTAAACAGGCACAAGGTTAAAAACAGTGTGATTGTTGTGGCAGGTTCCTAGGTAACTATTATGGGTGTTATTAGGTAGTCATTATGTTGTAGAGTAGCCTTTGGCTTATCGTGTAAAGGACTGATGCGTGACGTCACGCCATCATCCACGACACCCTTTGATGGCAATCGCGCTATAATAACATAAAGTCTTAAATAAAATATAATTTCTATAAACAATTACGAAACTTCTTTATAAAAATAGTTGATGTGTTACGCAATCATAATAATCGATCTGATTCTGATTTTGTAAGATAAGAAATTCCATTATTTTTCATGTAAATTCTTATAATTTCCATGAGAATGCTCATCTTATACATTACAGTAGTATGAAAAGGCAAACGCCGAAATTTCAAGAGAAAAAAGCTTTCAATGAAACCATATTTCCACGTTATGTAATAATCCTGTGATAAGAGAGATAAGTATAGTAATGTTTATGCTGTGAACTTTATTTTTGAAACAGAAATCATTTAAATAAATAAATACGTTGGGACATTACCACAAAGCACCATCTCGTTCCATGCTAAGCTACGAGGCTTGTGTTATGGATACGAAATAGTTGATACACTAAACATGTATAACTTTAAATACATACATATTATAAATATAAACACCCATGACTGGAGTACAAACATCCATCATACATTGTACACATCACACAAATGAATGCCCCCCGCGGGACTCAAACCCGCGACCGCTGGTACAGCAAGTAGGGTCACTGCAAACTGAGCCAAACGTGTCGTCAATGTTTCAAGATCGTCAAGCGAGATAGTCAGTGGTTACACAATAAAAAATAAGCTACCTATTTCATTAAAAGAAAATATCAATTAGGACTATATTTTGTAGCGTAATATTTGTGAACTGAGATTTTATCCAATAGGTACATACAACGAGTTCAACATCGTTAATGAATCATGTTACAGTTTTAGTTTTTAACCACATCGGCACCGGCGCTCCATTAAATACATATATGTATTATATAGGTATAATACATATGAGCGCTGTTTCTTTTAATTTTTTTCTTATCGTGCAGCATAGAATAACAAAATATTTATATCTATACTAATATTATAAATGCGAAAGTATAGTAGTATAGGTTATAAACCCAGTTCTACTCATTAAAACCTAATCTTTCTCATCATAATAAAGGATTCTTCAGCCACTTCAGTATTACTTTTGCATATATCTACTACATCGAAGCTGGTCGACAATCGACATATAAATTTCATATCCACCCCACAGAAACTTTTACCTTTTGGAGATAAAATGTGGCTATTCCTTTCATTAATTCCAACTAGTAGAGTTTGCTTAGTTAAATAAACATAGAGAAGAATAAATACTTTAAAAATTACCATGTCCATATTGTTTTACTTTGGTATTCATATGCCCAAAATATATAAACAGTAAACTATCTCTCTTCTGTACCTAATCTATCTAAAGTGTCTCTAGTGGCCGTTGTACAAATTCATGGAGCTCGGACGTGATTAAATTACGTAGGTACCTATTAAATAAATACAACGCATGTCTGACCTACTACCCTCTTTTTTACTTGAGCCAAATATAAATTATGCGTGAAACAGTCAATCATGAATGCAGAATAAGGTATAAATAATTAAATCCAATTATAATTTCTTATTATTTTATTACCCTCAAAAGTTGTTGATATCTGTAGTAACAAGGTATGTAATGTCTTGACTTTTTAGATTTTTACTTGTACAATTGTCAATTGTGTATATTAAAAATGTTTCAGGAGCCTCCAATAATTTAGAATCGAGCTCGCACAACCAATATAGTGGTAGTGCGAGCTCGATTTTATGAGTTAGTTCATTGATAAATATTATATTTATTACACAATTATTTATATTATGTGTCGGGTGCGACTCTTGGTCAACTTTTTTATTTATCAGTACTTTTGGCATTTTAACCCTCCTACATCCAAGCACAAATTAGTAATATTGGTCTAGTTACCTGGCACGTGTACAAAAAATGCTTTAACACGATTCATTAGAGGTATATTATTTACACGAATTTATTTCCAGCAATACATTTTTTGTTTATTTCTTCATACATATTTATGGATGATGATGATAAAGGATTACATAAGAATTGTATTTTTTATAATAAACTTTATAGTAAATTAGAAGAAAAGTAGGTCGTGAGACGACCTAGTTTATGTACAGGTTGTTTGCTTGTCTCGGGATGTGTGTGTAGTGTGTACTGCTTTGACACGTGTAAAGAAAATCAAGTAAAATGCGTTATAATAAATGACTTATAGAAACACTAGCAGAACCCGCGACTTCGCTCGCGCTAACACTACAGAAAACTCTAAAAAAGTATGTTTCAAACAAACGTAATTTTGATCATAAATAATGTTTGTGTTGTATTATAACGTGTTTTCCCGTGGGAATTAGATTATCTGCCGCGGTAGCCTATGTCACTCTCCAGACCTTCAAATATCTCCACACAAAAAATCACGTCAATCCGTCACTTCGCTTCGACGTGAAAGAAAGACAAACAAACAAACACACTCTCGCATTTATAATATTAGTATGCATTTAGAATTGATCAGTGTTTATATAGGGAGTAATGACTGTGTGCTCGCTTTTTAAAGAAGTTATTAATAAGAATTTTATGAAGTTAAAAATTACCTACTCCAAAAAGCACTTTATAATAACTACTTAAATAAAAAATAAAAAGCGCAAATAGTATAAACTCATATATTTTTGTTAGGTGACTAATTCTTAAAACTGAAACTTTCGAGTAATATTGGAATTTTGGTAAAATGTTTATCCCCTATCGTGTAGGGAGAAAACCTATGGGTTTTTGAAGTAAAATTTATGCGAAATGTTGAAACCGTTATTGTACATAAATCATACCCGTATTTTTTTTGAGTCAGGTTTTTTATATGTAAGAAAAAAAGCTCTCCGGCCCATGGAGCTAAAAATGTTTTTTTTTTAAGAATATGTTCCTGCGTACCTGCTACTAAAAGAAGACAATTTATCTGTCGGGTTAGCATTTCTTTTAATTTAAGTCTATTTATTCCTACTTGTGATCGGAACTTGAAATTTAACTATCGATATTCTTAAAAAAAATTATAACCTGTTACGTTAGAATTATCTTTTATAGATACACAAAAAACTCGCAGGTATTTATCACAAACCGGCAATAGTCGGACAAAGAATATATTATTATTCATCCGCTTAGCAGACAAATAGACACTTCGTATTAATAAATATGATTTAGTGGAATATTTCAAAGCCGCGCCAGAAAGAAACCGATGCATGTATCATAGATTCTACGCAAATTAACATTTTTTCTAATCAAGAGTTAGGGCAACTCCCTGATTCTGTACATAAATCAGACTAAAAAAAATAGAGAGTGCGTACATAAGACCTGGGAATACCCCGAAAATTTTAGCTTAATATACCTACCAAGTTGCTGTACCAGCAAAGGACACATACTCAAAATCAAATAATACAACTTAACTGTTTCAATTGTAGCTATTACGATCCAAATAAGATGACATTTGAAGATTTTTGTCTATATTGCACTAATAGAATTAAATAATCTGAATTAAAGCAATTAAAACCTGGATATTTTTATAAGACAGGTACAGGTATGGATTTTAGTCTGTCTGTCTATCTGTCTGTCGGTTACCGCATCACAGAAAAACCACTGGAGAGATTTGGTGAAATTTGGTATAGCGATAGCTGGTTATCCGGGGCAACATATAGGATACTTTTTACCGCGGGAAAATGTCTCATTTCTGAGAAAAAATACAGAACTGCAATGTATATACTAATATGTGAAACCTAAGAATTTGGTTTCTGGTCATCTGAACGCGAGCGGAGCCACGGGCAATGCTAGTTTAATTTATAAATATGTTATAACTTTTATATATACAACATATAAATTAAAAGAAAATACAAGCGGTATAGCCCCGATTTTCAGCGAAAGCTTGCGACATCGCCCTGGTGTTTGGATTTTGGGACTACGTGGCTGATTGGTATGTTAAAAGATGCGTCTGAATGAGTGCTACAAAATGCATAAAAAATTGAAACCACACAAAAGCTTTTTTTTTTAATCGAAAAAATGTGAAAAATGCGGTCGCTTTTCGCTCGGTTTCGGTCAGAAAAAAAATCATATTTCGAAAACGAAATAAGATATCGAAAAATAAAAATAAATCCTAGAGATATACAGGGTCATTTTTAATTTACTGAAAACCTTTTGGAAATACACTATTTACATCATAACAACAACATCTGTAAGAAAAAAATAATATCTTAAATTTTACAAAAATAAAAATATTTTTATTGCACCTTCTAAACGGTAATAGTCCAGCATTAGCAAAAGAAAGTGCGTGACCGGTGGAGGGGGAGGGTTAGAGGGGGAGGGTTGGAGGGGTGTAGGAAGCCGCGCTTACTGATTTCAACTTGGCCAGATGCTAGAACTTTAAAGTTTAGAAGGTGCAAAAATTTTTTTTTATTTTTGTATGAAAATAAAAATTTAGGAAATATTATTTTTTCTTGTTACAGATGGTGTTGTTATGATGTAAATAGTATATTCCCAAAAGGTTTTCAGTAAATTAAAAATGACCCTGTGATATATGACTTTGGGCTACATTTAAAAAATATTGGAGGTGCATATCACTGATGGGTTATTCATAAGCTGTACCTTTGTAACGCTGAGTTTACACGAGGAGAGCGCGTGAGCGCAGTAATAACGGTGAATAAGTAAATGTTTTGTAACATGATTTTATTTTTGAACGAAGTAATTCTTTGTGAATTAATAAATATAGTAAAGAATAAATAAATAGTTAAGCTAATAACTAACTAATATCTACGTACATATAATAAGTAACTTAGCGAAATCTGTACGTGAAATATTTTTTAAAAACAATGACTGTAACGATTGTGTTTTACTACTAGTATAGTATTATATGATCTGTGGTTCTACAGAATATAGAACCCAAAACAATGATTATTAAAATGTTGTCTGTTAGTCTGTATGTCTGTTTGGATGTGCGCGTTTCACGAAAAAAGTACTGAACTGATTTAACTAAATTGTGTACCTACAGATATCTTATTACTCGGGTTAGAATATTTAGGATAACTTTTACTGCAGGAAAAAGAAGGAAAGTCGGAGGAGAGGAGCGGAGTGAAGAGGAGAGGAGAGAAAAGGCGAGAAGAGAGGAGCCTGTTGTTGAGAGTAGGTCTGTCTTTTGCAGTTCTTTTATTCGCCAATCTTCTTCGCCTGTCTTTTCCTTTCCTCTCCTCTCCTCCCCTTTTTCTCTTTAAAAAACAAACAAATTTTGTTTCTTTATAATATTTATATTTATTTGTTTGTTTGTGTAATTGTTTCTTTATCTGTTAATTTGCTTAATGTTAGCTTGGTAAACCGCTAGTTTTCTTAAGTGTTAGTTAGGTTAACTGACCGTTAGTTTAACTGACAGTTTTTTTAACTGTCAGTTTGATTAACTGCTAGTTAGTTTAACTATCAGTTACTTTAACTGACAGTTTTTCAACTGTCAGTTAGTTTAGCTGTCAGTTTTCTTAACAGCCAGTTGAACTATTAGTTAGTTTGCTTAACTGTTAGTTTGTTTAAATGTTAGTTTGCTAAACTGTTAGTTTGCTTAAATGTTAGTTTGCTAAACTGTTAGTTAGGTTAATTATCAGTTAGTTTAACTGTCAGTTTGCCTAATTGCTAGTTAGTATAACTGTCAGTTTGCCTAACTGCTAGTTAGTATAACTGTCAGTTTGCCTAACTGCTAGTTAGTATGACTGTAAGTTGGCCTAACTGCTAGTTAGTATAACTGTCAGTTAGTTTGACTGTTAGTTTGATTAACTGTTAGTTACTTTAACTAACAATTAATCAAACGGGCATGTCTTCTTCGCCTTTCTTCTTCGCCTGTCTTCTGTATTTCTTTTAATGTCTCTTCTCTTCTCTTTCATTCATCAAATTACATATTAGTTATAACATCTTTATGCATCCAAATACTTTTTGTAGTCTGAACACGGCCGAAACTGCAGGTTCTGCTAGTAACTAATATGTTAAAAATTTAATTCAGTTCATTTGGCAGATTCATTTTCAATGTACTCGAAGGTCGTAGCAGACACGAGATCAGTTGATTTTTTATTATACTACTCGCTCTAACAACCTTTTTTTCTGCACGAAATATTCAATGTGATAGTCACGATTTGTGTTTTAGGCTATTGTTAATGTGTTTATCATGAGGTCGCCAAGGCTTTTAAGACTTTTAATCAGTGATGGTAGACGAATGTGGGTCAGCGGTCAATCGCGATAGTGGTAAGCTCGCTCGCGATTATATGGAAATTAATCGACCCTCGGTCAGCCCTAGTGCCTGCTGGGTAAATCTTAAGGTGCCTATAAATGAAACAAATTGCCAACATCCTGTATTACCTTTTATAATTTGGACCGAACCATGACCTAAATGACGTTGTTATAAGCACACAATAAAACTACAGATTGATTATATAGATTACATACTTAATATTTGTATCTTTTAATAAATGGCAAAAACAAAGATAGAATGCGTTTTATAATACTTATAAAATGTATAGTATTTGATTAGATGAGATATACACCATAGGTACTTTGACATCTTATTTTACAATTTACCTAATCATTAAAAAATTATTGTCACACGCTGAAATGCATAAAATTATAATTCATAGAGATGAATAATTTTACGCAATTTGAGATAGTTAGCATTTTATATATACTTCATAAAAGTTAGACAAATTTATCAACAAATGTTTTTTACTTACCTATGAAACTCATTACATTTCAATTGAGTAATTCACGTCCACTTTAACATCATTATTTTTTTTTTAATAATCGTGGTTCATATTATATAGTAAGTTACAGTTAGGTACTTAATTACAGATTCACATTAGATTCACAATATAGTTTTCATTCGAAATCACAGGACTACATTTAATCTATTTTTATATACCTAAGTCTTACTAAAATGTTAACGGTTATCTACTAATTCAAGACTTGCCGAAAGAATCAGTAAATAAGGACGATATGTTCTGACGTGATGCAGACAACAGTTGCGATGGTAACGGATAGGACGCTATCTGTTGCCATAGGTAGTTTGGGGCACATCATTTAAAATTTTAGGAGGGTAGGGATACAGGAGTATGGTAAAAACTATAAGCCTTACTATTATTTTACGAAGCACTATTTTTTTATCTATTAGGTTCTTACTACTTTGTATACAGAGCTTTGCTCACACTTTCGCTTTGTATAAAGAGTGTCTTATTTCTACTCACCTAAGCATGGGAAATTTTATTTTAATTTATTTTTTATTTTAACACCTCCAGGTAAATTTCTAAGAAATTAATTAGATTTCTAAGAAATCTATTGTTAACTGTAACGCCGGCGTATCCGCGGTCGTGGAGATGAGAGAGAGATTATTATATATTATAACGTGTTTTTCCGTGGAATGAATAATCTCCCGCGATGATGTGTAGCCTATGTCACTCTCTAGCTCTCTAACTATCTTCACATCAAAAATCACGCCAATCCCTTCGCTACACTACTCTATTTAATATACTTAATCTACTAAATTATTTTAGCAATTATTTTTATGTCTATTTATTTTATTACTTTACTATTTTATATTCAGACCACACTATAGCGCCAATCACGGTTCGTTCTCGTGAGTGACTTAGCCTCGCTTCGGTCGGTTTCGTCCCTACGTTTTAACGATTAGTATGGAATTGAAATAGATAGACTATATATTATATATAGTCTATAGCTTTCCTATCTTTAATACAAAAAGAATTTTTCAAGTCAGATTAGTAGTTCCTGAGATTAGCACGTTCAAACAAACAAACTCTGCTTCTTTATAATATTAGTATAGGCAATAAGTGCATTCACACTCTCAGTAAAAATCAAGTTTCGATAGGTCTGACTGAACGTGATCGAACTATTCATGGCATGTAGGTACTGATAGTGCAAATGCTCTTCTGTTTCCGGGCAAGTTATGTAGGTACTATGAAAGCGAGGAAAGTGTACTCTATAAAATAGATGTCATTGGGAATTAATATTTAATAATAATTAACGCGAATGAGGAGTTTAACCACTGATGATTTTCGTCCAGTCTAGTTAGCTAGAGTGTCTTCTTCTCTAGTCTAGTTCAATATTGTGTTATATTTTTTAAATAATTTAAAGTGTGTGTTACATAATTTAAATTTAATTTTTTTACACCTTTTACTATAATTAATTCGACTTCCACTTTGACTATTGACGATTAAAACTGAATCGTGATCAAAGCCTGATTGTATAATGTGAACATGATAAGAAATTATCAAACCAAGACCGTACCGAGCACGAACTGTGATCGCAATATAGTGTGGATTGAAACTTATTTTATCTTTTTTACTTGTTTGAGGGATACTTTATCAGTTGACATGGAGTTACTTTTTTTTGCCTCTACACTCCATTAAATATACTTACCTCTACAAAATAGAAATGGTCGAATCCACCTAACGCTCGAATAATGCCCGATGAAACACACTAGAAAGCAAAAAATGTAATATGTGGTGTTAAATTTTATCCCATTGACAACCAACCAACCTTTGTTCAATTATTCAATGAAATTTTGTGCTTGTGTGCTGCACTGGTCGGCAGATTTAGATAAAATTTAGTGCACAAATAGACCTAAAGTAACACATAGGCTACTTTTAGGCACTAAGAGGCCCGAGCAAAGCGAGGGTAAGTTGCTAGTCATAAATAGATTTTTCACTTAACACTATTTTTAATCGAAAATGTAACTTACTATTCAAATTTCTAGGTAACAAAGATCAAATACATTTCTTAACTTCTAATATGTCAATACTGTTCGCACAAATAATGTTTATTTGCATTAAAATAAATAGAGTAAATAATTAAGCTTTAATTAGAAGTTGGCATACATTTCCCCAGTACATATCTTCTACACCCTAATGCACAATTGATTGTCGGTTCTTCTAAAAGTACTCGAGAAAGTATATAATCATTATTGATTTGTACACATTCAATTTCAAGAGTAGTTGCATTCACCCATAAAGCTTCAGATGGAAATTTATTAATTCCACAAGGAGCAACAGAGCCAAATTTTTCACATTTCCCTTTCCATAACACCATGGTATCAGTTACACACGGATTTTTTATACAAATCGGTTGGACTGAATTTGTTTTTAATGTCAGGTATTGATTTTCTGGACAAGGACCTTTTTGATATGCTGCCCAACACGCATCCGTATTCGGATGGTACAGATATCCTGAAAATTAAAATTTATATTACTGATCTATACTAATATTATAAAGAGGTAAAGTTTGTGATCTTGTGAGTTTGTGACGTTGTAGGAGGTAATCTCTGGATCTACTGACCGATTTCCAAAATTCTTTTACCAATAGAAAGCCACGTTCTTTCTGAGTGTCATAGGCTATATTAACCCGAAGAATGAAAAGGCTTTTTCGTGGTAGTAGGATTTGCAAAGTAAGTCGGAGAAAAAACGGTCTAACTTTATTTTTTATATTTAAGTCACAAAAAGTAGTTTTTATATTTAAAAAAATAATTTAAATCGGTATGTCATGTTTATTGGTCATATTATCAACAATTATGAATACTTATCAAAATAAGTAAATTTACCGTCTAAAATGTTTAAAACAAAAGACTTTTCCTTTTTACTGCATATAATTTGGACAAATAGTTAAAGAGATAATACAACATATTCGTAGGCATGGACGAACCCGAGCGAGCTGTTTGTCTGTTTTCCTGTTTTTACGGGCTAATCTCCGAATTTATAGGACCGATTTAAATGAAATTTTGCGTGGTCGTACCTTATATCCAGGTCAACATGTAAGATACTTTTCATTCCGGAAAATTAAAGAGTACCCGTGGGATAGTTAAAAAACTATAGTATCTTATACAGCTTAGTACACAACTTATGCACCTAGTTTAGTAAAATTTAACATTCTGATACCTTATATTGCCGTTAAAACAACAGGTTACTTTTCATCCCGGAAAAATGAACGGTTCCCGTGGGATAGATCTGTTTGTGCTTTTCTAGAGGTGAACCCGAGCGAAGCGAGGGTGAGCCGCTAGTAGAATATAAAGTATACCTACGTCTTTTGACGCTGCTTTTTAATATTCTATTTTATAAAAAAGTATTACCTGGACGACAATCACAAATCCAATCATCCGTTTGGTCTCCGGGGTATAACAATTCATTCTCTGGACACATGGATGGTATAAAAACTGGTGTACGATTCTGAAAAGAAGAGGTACAAGAAAATAAATACATTATATTATGTTTACTAGATAGCTACTTACACGATCCATATATTTTAACATAATAATTAACTGGTTCGTTGGTCTAGCACTAGCGAGAACCATTGTAAAAAGTAGTTGCAGTGACTCTTTGACTCTTTTTGATGTTGATATCTCTTAGCCCCGACGGCAGGTCTGCCGAAGCACAACAAGACTACACAACCAAGGGGTTGCTCCTACGGTCCACTCTCCTTATGGAACACCGCCCACCGAAGTGGGCCGCCTCCCTGTGTGTTCCTTGGCTTAGCATCCGGCTAAGTTGCCGGACTCTAATGGGCCCCCCTACGACGATATGGTGAACACACGTCGGGGAGGAGCCGGTGAGTCCTACATAACCAACTTATACCTTTAATAATTAAGTGGACCACATGGGATTGTGTATCTTGTACTTTCTTAATCCATGACCGTTGTGCAGAAATGTTCCATTAAACTAATTGGATATTAATTAACATTATTTAAATTTTGGGATCCGTAACTTAAAAGGAAAAAGGAAGTATCTTTCTAGACCCTAAGGGGCAAACGTACGCTGAGTATTTACTTTAGACATATTCAATCGTGAAAATTTAACTCAAATTCAATGCAGTTGTAAGTTGTAACTTATATGTATGTACATAAAAACATTTCACTAAACTGTTTTTTCTTTTTCACAAGAATACATCCTTGTTCAGAATACACGTATAATTAATTATATTAAGTAGGTAATATAATATGCTTTTGTGTAAGTTAGTGCCTGTAGGACATTTTGACGGACATTAAAAAACCATACCTATCTATTAAGACATGCTGGTCACTAAAAATAGTGAAAATACGTATTATAATAATAGGTTAGTTTTTTTATTTTATATATTTTATGATTTTATGAAGTTATGGGAAATTTAAAAGTTAACACAAGTTTTAGACATCCTATAATTTATTTTTATAATATTATTTACAGCTTTTTAGTTTTTGCCAATTATACATTTGAAGTATCTAATATTTAGCAATTTTTTATCCCAAATTCCTTTTAAACATATAAGTTGTATATAATGTTTTTGTGATCGCCTCTTAAAAAACTTTATTTTTATATCCCACTCGATTGGTTTGGAAGATTTTTTTAAACACACAATTTGGCGTCTGAAGTCCGCCATTTTAATAATTAGGTAACTATCTTTACATAACCTATGACACTAGCATTATCAAGACGAATCTAACGTCGTATGAATCACCAAAATCAGCCTACACGTTTGGTCTCTAGAACGCCACATAGGAACAAACATTATACATACATACATACGCACATGCGTACATGCGTACATACATACATTAATTTATTAATTAAATATAAACCTAATAAAATAACTCGTCACACATTATTATCTGAATAATGTGAAACGAATTATTTACCTTATTTTTGTTGACTTCGTGCGATAGCTTAATTTATATAAGATTATTATATGTATAGATAACTCATTCACCTAAAACTCATCAATAAAAAAACGAAGTGCTTACACATCGCACATGAGTATGTAATTACTTAGTTTAGCTCATTTGACTTTTTTGACATTTGAGATATAACAAAATAATGTATGGTGGAATTGTGTATCTTATATAGGTTTACAGAAAAGTCCGCGATGGCATATGCTTATCTCTTAAGGATAACATACTATATCCATTTTACCTAGGGACGAACCCGAGCGAAGCGAGGGTGAGCCGCTAGTTTATTATATACTGGTTTAGCTATTGCTTTGTGAACTCTATATTACTAAAATATATGTTCATGAGTCAAGGATATCTATATCTATACTATAATAAAACTGCAAAAATGTAAAAAAAAGGAAAAATTTTACAACATCAAAACAAAATTTATTGTGTAATCAAAATTTATTTTAAAATATATCCGAAAAAAATAAAACCGACTTCCAGGCACTAAAATTTAAAAAATAACTAAACGGGGGTTTTCATTTAGAATAGATACCTAATCAGCCGACGCATAGAAAATCTAATATATTTTGATACGTAAAATACATATATACCTATTAGATATTCATATCTTAAAATATTGTCCGCTGGCACCGACTTCGAAAATATCTGATTAGGTATATATTCTAAATGAAAACCCCCGTTTAGTTATTTTTTACATTTTAGTGCCTGGAAGTCGGTTTTTTTTTTAAGTTTTTATTTTTATATTTTTTGTGTAGACGTAATAAGCAGGTAATTTGTAGGAAGAAAGTTTTTAATAACATATTCGATTAAACAATTTGTTTAAAAAATATATTTATTATTGATTTTTTTTAAAACCGCTCGACCGATTTCGATAAAATTTATATGGGACCACCTGAGAAGTACACCCTTTCAAGCAAAATTTTCCAAATCGGTTCAAGCGTCTTCGAGTAATCGGTGAACATACATAAAAAAAAGATTCCGACGAATTGAGAACCTCCTCGTTTTTGGAAGTCGGTTAATAACATTAAAAATTTCACCTCAAATCCTGGCGAAAGAAAACCGATATCGCCCTAGAATGATTCGAGAAGCCATAGAAATTAAAAAACATCCAAATTTCAATAGGGAAGATGGCTGGGTACTACCATCGTCATGGGATCCTGTTATTAATATAATAAAATCAAATAATAAATATAAACATAACAGACAGGCAGATGTAGTAAGTTCATACTGTGTAGATCAAAATGACAGCTTATCAGATTAATATTTTTCATTTGTAAAAGTATATTTTAATAGTGTTGCTTAGTAAGTTGTTTTTAAATAATAGCAAACTAAATTAGAATGATTATCCGTAATTAATTTTAACTTTTTAAATTACACATAGAACAATTATATGGCTTTAATAATTAATACTATATTTTTATATTTTTATTTATGGTTATAAATATAATAATGGCAACACTAAATATAGATTACTAATTAATATTTTTAAAATTGTAGTAATTATAAAAATAATAGCAAAAATTAAATAAATAATTTTCCATATTCAATTATAATTAAAATTATAAAAAATGTTTAAAGTTAAAAATATTGTAATGTAATTGGTGCAATTTTCATTTTGTTAATTGTGGGTAGGCTGTCTGTAACAACTATATCTTTAAGACATGTAACACCTCAGTCTCTCCCGTGACCATGGATGCTGTAAAGCATTCGAAACGTCGGGAACCAAAAATCAAAATAAATCCGCGAAATAATCCGAAAAGATAGTTTTATTTAATAGGTTCATACTTGTTTAGCCGGTGAACCAGTGAGCTCGGACGCGTGGTGGGGACTGCTACTCGCCCAAAAAAATAGAATAAAATGGATTGACTCGACTAAATTACTTACTAAACTAATCGACTAAATTTTTAGTGTTCAGACACGTTTAGTTACTAAATTACTCGCTACTAGACTAAAATACTAGCTTAATGCGAACTAGGCTTAAGAGATAGATCAAAACATTGTACAAGAAAATTGTAAGTCTTACTAAAAACTTTAAAAAACCCGACTTCCGGACACTAAAATGTAAAAAAATACTAAACGGGGGTTTCATTTAGAATAGATACCTAATCAGATATTTTCGAAGTCGACCTACCAGCCGATGCAAAAGAAATCTAATATATTTCGATACATAAAATACACATTTACCTATTAGATATTCTTAAAATATTGTCGATGATACCTTATATTGCCGGTCAAACAAAAGGTTTCTTTTTATCCCGGAAAGATGAACGGTTCCCGTGGAATAGATCTGTTTGTGCTTTTCTAAAGCCGAACGCGAGCAAAGCGAGGATGAGGCGCTAGTCTAATAATATTTCTCAAAAGGTACACAAATAAAATCGTAATTTAATGTCGACTTCTTAGAAGATATCGGTAATTATACATTAATTAATTAATTTTTTGTTGTACAGTAATTATAATATAAAGGACTTTATAGTTATGGATTGACTCGACTAAATTACTTACTAAACTAATCGACTAAATTTTTAGTGTTCAGACACGTTTAGTTACTAAATTACTCGCTACTAGACTAAAATACTAGCTTAATGCGAACTAGGCTTAAGAGATAGATCAAAACATTGTACAAGAAAATTGTAAGTCTTACTAAAAACTTTAAAAAACCCGACTTCCGGACACTAAAATGTAAAAAAATACTAAACGGGGGTTTCATTTAGAATAGATACCTAATCAGATATTTTCGAAGTCGACCTACCAGCCGATGCAAAAGAAATCTAATATATTTCGATACATAAAATACACATTTACCTATTAGATATTCTTAAAATATTGTCGATGATACCTTATATTGCCGGTCAAACAAAAGGTTTCTTTTTATCCCGGAAAGATGAACGGTTCCCGTGGAATAGATCTGTTTGTGCTTTTCTAAAGCCGAACGCGAGCAAAGCGAGGATGAGGCGCTAGTCTAATAATATTTCTCAAAAGGTACACAAATAAAATCGTAATTTAATGTCGACTTCTTAGAAGATATTGGTAATTATACATTAATTATTTAAATTTTTGTTGTACAGTAATTATAATATAAAGGACTTTATAGTTACCTTAATTTATAATAATAATAATATTTATTATATATTTAAAAAATTTAATTACATACCTGCTTATTGACTAATAGTGGATTTTCTTCTACCTCTGGAAATCCTATTGTATCTTTGGAATTTCTTGGCATGCTTCTTACAACCACTATTAAATTTATAATAAAAAATATAACACTAAAAACCGCCATGATTTATAATTCTTTTCCAGCAAAATAACTTTAAAATTAACTATTAAATAGTTTATTTATGTAAAATATAGATAAATTCGTAATGTTTTTGTATTACTGCTTGATTAAACAAATAAAAAAGTATTCAGTAGTAGGTAGGCAATACAGATACGAGTACTTAGATGTAGTGTTTGAGAGCGACTGCAGAATCATATGTCAGAAAATCATAATATGAACTATTCACACTCATAACAATATTATAAAATGACTGATAATGATAATAATGAAAAAAGGGGCCGCTAACCAAAACTTGTTTACATACGTTATAGATCAGATAATTATGCAAATTCCACCTACGTAGTAATCTTTGGTTTTACCCTTCGATTAACAATACTACTGTTGATCGAAGGTTTTGCCCGACTGCTGGTGAAGCGTATTGGCGGATTTAGGCTTAATACCGCCCAAGTCCCAGTTTGATAAGCCACTCTTTTGCGACGTAAGGAAGTCATAATTAATTAGTATTTGTTGAATTTTATTTATTTAGCTCTTGCTCTATTTTTAACTGTAAAAAACTAATCACATTAATTTTATTCTTTCTTGCTTTGGTTCGCGCGAAAACATCGATTATATCTTCAAAATCAATCAACCACCAGGTTCTAGCGGCTTTGACCAAGTCGTCTTCTCTTGGGAGACCTGCACAGTGCGCATGCTTCGCCTTCCGGTACGCGGCCATCTCTCAAGAACTCTTCGTCCCTAACGATCTGTTCTGCGAACGATGTGCTCCGCCCACTACTACGAAAATAGGGAAATGACATTATCATGTCGTACTCCTCGCTGCAATTGGATAAGTCGTTTTTTATGTTGGGAAATGCATTTACGCATACCACCTGTATCCATACATGTGGTTATGTGGCACTCACTGGCTAGAAAAGTCAGTACTACCCACTAAAACCTAAAAGAAGCTCTTCCGTCCTAATGGGGCATCGCAGGATCGCTTATGCACTCAACTATGGCGCCCCGACGACAGGTCTGCCGCAGCAGACTACAAACCAAGGGCTGCTCCCACTGTGTGTCTCTTGGCTTCGCGCCTCGACTCTTTTCTCTTAATTATGAAAGAAATAAATAAATTCTGAATGGACTTGAGGATCGATTTTTTACCCACCTTCAGAAGTTTTGCCGTTAATCCATCTGCACCCGGTGCTTTATTATTCTTAATCTGTTTGAGAGCCACCCTGATCACTTGCAGACCGACATCCGGAATTGCTTCTGAATGATGTCGTGTTAGTCAGGCTCCTGGATCGTCATCCAGACTGCTGTGTTATCATTCTACGTTGACATAACGGTCCTCTCTGCTATTAGAAAAGTACTAGGAGCGACCCGCATGGTACACCACCCATCGAAATGGGTCCATTTTGGCGGAACTTATTTTAGAAGCTCTATTTCGTTATTTTTTTGAGCTTTGCACCTCATACTTCAATGACTAGAAAGAGAGACACATTCCTTAAGACTTTAAAGTTTAAAGCTTATAACACTGCAACTATCGGCTGGAACAATTAAATTAAATATTTTAACAGAAAAGCTCAGTAATTAAACTTGGCCCGACCAAGGACTTGAACCCAGGACCTCCGGATCTGCGGCTGTTGCTAACCACTAAACCAATGTGGCAGTTATTAATCACTTTTTAACGTTTTTCTTTATAAAATGTTTTCTTAAGGATTTCAAGAATTATTTCGTATGTTTTGTTCATTGATATTATCAGTATTTAGATATTTTAAACCTTGAAAGTGGTGAAAGTGAAATTATAGATACCCGTGTTGAATTATATTGTTATATTACACAAATACATAATAAACCGGTCTTCTTCTCAACTATATATTTAGATAACGTAATTTTTTTTAAATATTGGTACTTAATATGCATAGAGTATATTGCTACATATAAAAAATAATTAATATGTTAATCTAGTAGTTAATTAATACCATGGATGACAATTAATACGTTAATCTATTAAGTCGAGTGCACACTGCACGATATGGATATTGCCAGCTTTGAAAAGTGTTGATTTCGATTTTCGAGTAATACAGCGCAGTCTTCGATGCGCAAAATCTATAAAATCAAAAAAAAAATATACATATAATAACATCTAAGAAATTATGTAATAATTAATTTTTGTGATAAATTTTAATTCGAAGATCAAACTAATCACATTTAAATAAAACAATTTGATTGCATATATCACAGTACAAAAAAACAATGTTAGAATTTTCTTCAAAGTTACCATGAAGGATAAATTAACCAAAATTGCCCAGTTTGAATATTTCAATATAAAATATTTGATAAAACATAACGCAAAAAACGTAAAAATAGTTATTGAAATAATTCGTATTAGGAAAGTACGAAAATATAATTCCTTTGCCAATAAAAACTCTGTCATGGCTTACGTCAACTTGTCAACTTTTCAAGAAGATGACTTTAGTGAAGTGAAATCTCAACGCACAGATGAAAGATAAGTGCAGTGAAAACTTTACAAAAAAACAATGTGAAATTACTATCTTTTTCAATGTAATAATGAAAACTGCAATGTTATAAATTTATATTTACGCCGGCGCGATGTTTACCAAAAAGTCCCATCAAGATGTTAAGAAATCAACTGTTAAAATACAAGATTCGAAGAAGGATTCTACGACTAGACTAAAACATTTAAAAATCGTTTTAGGTATACAAATATGAATTATTTTTAGATTAACTCTATTATACTAAAGATTGCATAGTGGATTATAGCTATTTTGAAACGACGACAAAGATAAATGCAGCTACATAGCATACAACATGCTAATTAGTCCAGAATAACTGTAGTTGATGCTTCTTGATGTATTATTGCTTATGTTTAAAAGTAAATTAATTTACTATTAAACATAAGCTTACCATCATGTCTCTTTTTCATATGGGACTGCTACTTTCAATATTTACTTACTTTTTACTACATACTTTTATTTTCATGACTAGAACTTATGTATTTATTATATGACAATACAATATATTGTTTTATTATATTTCAGAACATTTTGATGCTGATGAAGCCAAAAATTATTTTGAAAATAACTTTAGTCATGTTTACTTTATCTTATATGACAATTTTATATTAGCAGAAAATAATCTACGACAAAGAGGTATGTCAAATATTTAATTATATTTATTTCTTTAAAATATATTTTTAAATTTAGGTATTAGTGAAATAATTTTATATATAACTTCAACTTCCAGTTATTCAAAATATGTACTGTATATATTAATGTATATAAAATTGTTCAGTTACTTATTTTAATGAACACAGTACAATTAACTATAGTTAAATATACTGTATAATATAAAAATATACTCACATACCAGATGATATGTAATATTTCTGTACAGACATAAACTGTAAAAGCTTAGAAAATAAAACTCAAATCAAGCCTTGTCAAATTTCACAAACATATTTTTTATTGATAATGTTAATGTAGGTTGATGATAAAATTATAACTCAGGTAGGCATAATTTTTATGTTGTAGTTATCAACTATTATCAAAAGTAGAGTATGTTGTAGATGCATTTTGTACGCTATATTAAAACTATGTTATAACTGAACTTATTAGACAATTCTTTTGTATTATTAGAAGTAATATCTTAATTATGAACAATTGTAAAATAGTTGGCACATTGATTTATTTATTTTTTTTCTCTTTCTGCCGTACAGAACTTCCGTTTCACCTAGGTGAGTTATGGGTTGCAATATCATGTAAAATGCAGCACACAATATGACACATCTTGGATAGCTAGTTCTCAACAGTAGTAGAAATCATTTACATATTTGTGAATAAAACTGTTTTGAACAAATCTTTGCTTTATTTATATATGACTATTTGGATCAGCAAATAATTAATATTGAGTATAGTGCAAGTGATGGTATTTAAGTTGCAATTCTGTAGAAAATGGTTTTATTCAAGATTCATAATTACGAAAATTAATGATATCAACATTCCATATAAATTTAAGATTGGTACATAATTGGTAAATTAACATAAGCATATTAGCAATAACATTTTAATTTATGACTGGTGATTGGGTCATGTGTCTTCTACAGTAGAACATAAGAGAAAGTCAATTTTTGAATGTTTCATTATTTATATTTGT